TGTGTGTGTGTGTGCGTGTGTGTCCAGCTCAGCCCACCAGGGGGCGGGGCGGGCTGGCATGTGGTGCTGGGGGATTGAACCGTGGTCCCTGTGCTTTGCTTAGTTTGGCTTGTTCTAAGTAGGTTCTTTAGACCACTGAGCCATCTCACCAGCCCTTTGATCCATTTCAAATTTAGTTACAAAGTGAAAGGTATGGGTCCAATTTTAATCTTTGGCTTGTGCACAGCCAGTTTTTCCAGCACTGTTTAGTAAAAAGGCTATCTTTCCTCCTGTGAATATGTTTGTTACTTTTGTCAAAGTTAAGGTGGCTGGGTGTGTTTGGAGTTGTTTCTGCATTTCTGATTGTTCCATTGATCTTCTGGACTGTTTTCTTTGCCAGTACCACGCTTATTTTATCCCAGTAGCTTTGTAGTCTAATTTCAAGTCAGGGATTGTGTGAAGCCTCCTGTCTTGCCTTTGTTGCTCAGAATTGCCTTTGATATTCTAGGTCTCTTCTGGTTCCAAATGAATTTTAGGATTGTTTTCTCTAATTCTGCAAGATATGCTATTGGAATTGCATTAATTTTGATTGTCATTGCATTAAATCTGTATAAAAGTTTTGGAAGTATGGCCATTTTTACTATATTAGTTCTTCCTACCCAACAGCAAAAGATATCTTTCCATTTTCTGACATCTTCAATCTCTTTTTTCAGAGCACTGTAGCTTTCAATGTAGAGATCTCTTGCATCTTTCATTAGATTGAGTCCCAAGTATTTCATTCTTTGGGATGCTATTGTGAAAGGTGTTTGTTATGGTTTGTGTCTAGGTGTCCCTCCAAAGCCTAATGCAGTCCTTTTTTTTTAAAAAAAATTTTTTTTTATTTATTTATGTGTGTGTGTGTGTGTGTGTGTGCGGGGCTAGCTCAGCCCACGGGGGGGGGGGCTGGCTGGCAGGCATGTGGTGCTGGGGGATTGAACCGCGGTCTCTGTGCTTTGCTGAGCTTGTTCTAAGTAGGTGCTTTAGACCACTGAGCCATCTCACCAGCCCCCTAATGCAGTCTTGGGGCAGCTTCTGGAATTTGTGATTGATGACTGTGGGTGTGGATGCTGCACCTGCCCTGGGGCAGGTAATTTGCATTTCAGTGTAAGGAGGGAAGAGAAGCTAGCTGCTTGAGTTGCTGCTACTACTCTCTTCTCCCTCTTGCTCTTTGCTGCCCCCATGAAAGGTTTCTCTCTGCCCTGTGCAACTTTGCCTTGGGCCAGCTGAGTATGGACTGAAACTTCTAGTAACTGTGAGCTAAATAAACCTTTCCATCCTTCATTTTGTGTGTCGGGTATTTGTCCCAGCAATGAGAAAAGAGTGACTGAGACAGTGTTGTTTCCCTAATTTCTCTCTCAGTGAATTTATCTCATTTCTTATTAACCAAGTCACTTACAGAAGTGTGGGGACAGATATCTTTGGGGTGACATCACGTCCACAATTATTTCCTCCTCCTTCTGAGAATGCTCTTGGCCTGAGGTGGGGTGGGCAGCACACTCCAGCAGCCAGGTAGGTCTACATGACACCAGCCTAGCCCCTGTCATTCTTGAGTGCCTGCAAGGTGCATCTCTGACCCACTCTCGTGAACTTTGTAAAACTGTCTAACTTAGGACACAGGAACCTGGGATTCCCAGATGGACAGCCTGGGAATTGCTGTTGTTCAGTCACATCAACAGCTTTAGCGACAGTGTATAAAAGCTTTGGTACTGGGTCCCCACGGCTGCTCAGTCTTCCCAGTGTCTTTCAAAACCTGCTTTTCTGTCCAAACTATTCACAAGTTGTTTCTCTTGCTTCCTGTTATGGGTTGAATCATGTTCCCAAACAGAATACACTAGAGTCCTAGCACACCACTATCTCCTAGTGCGAGGGCTGTTGTAGGTGTCTTCACAGTGATGAGACCCACATCCAGTTTGGCTGGGTCCTTCTAAAAGGAAAGTCTGGACACAGACGTGCATAGAAGGAAGATGATGTGAAGACACTGGAGAAACCACCGGGTGAGAAGGGGAGAGGGGGCTATCTTGCGGTCACACGCCAAGCGCACTGTGGGGCACCAGGGCCAGAAGAAGCCAAGACAGATCCAACCTGGACGCTTCAGAAGGAGCGTGGCCCTGCTTGCACCTTGATTTCAGACTCCACAACTGTGAGAGAGTAGATTTCAGGTGGTCATGCCACTTCATGTGTTGCATTTTGCTACAGTAGTTCTAGAGAATTATAAGCTTACCAAAAAAAGTGTAGCTAAAGCAGGAAATAAACCTCCACTGTTCTGTCAATTGGTAACATCCTTTTTTTTTTTTTTTTCATTCAGTTGAACTGTGACAATAGAGCAAAGAATGTATGTAGCTTATAAAACAGACTAAATGCAGGAATAAATGAGAATTATCAGTTAGTTACTTTAATAGAGATGTTAGAAATACACATAGTTATGGCTTGTTATTTTTTTTTGCATTTGGGACAGGGTGTACCGGATCTTACTGCATAGATCAGACTCGTAGTGATTCTTGTGTTTACAGCCTCCCAAGTGCTGGGATTATAGGCACGCACTACCACGCCCAGTCTCACGCACTACCACGTCCAGTCTCAAGTCTCTGCACACCCCGGGGGTGGGGCCCGTACGGCAGGCCTGGGGACCAAACTCCTAGCAGGCACTTTAATCCACTGAGCTATTTGGACGGCCCAATGGCTTGTATCTAGATGTCCCCCAAGATGGCTAGATCATGGGTGTGTGAATTCGGATTAAAGATGTGTGATCACTGATGTGTGATCGGTTTAGCACAGTTCTGGGTGGGGGTGACAGGAAGCTCCCCCTGGGTATGGGTGGCAGCAAACAATATGCTTGTAGACTGAATGGAATATAAGGGTGTGGGCACCACTCCAGACAGATTGCTTTAGGCTTCGAGCTCTGGGGGGGGGGGTGTAAGGACCCCTCTAGCTAGCTCTGAGGACACAACCCTACTGTCTAACACAGGCAGAGATTGGAGAAGAGTTATACAAGAAAGATTGAGCAATCAGCAGACAACCATACATGAACCAGCTCAGTCAACATGCAAGAATGTAAATGTATCAGAACCACCTGTGTAAGAGTTAAACAACAGGGGCCAGGGAGATAGCTCAGTGGAATAAGCGCTTCCCTGGCAAGTGCAAGGGCCTGAGTTCAATCCCCGGTTCCGAAAAAAAAAAAAAAAAGAGTTAAACAACAAAGACACATACTGCTTTCTTGCTGCTGTCTGCCTTTTGAACAAAGGTCCGCCCTGCATGATTTCTTTTCCCTGGGGATCTCACTTGCCAAAGCACTCTTCAGGCTCTCAGCCATGACAGAAGGGAAAAGAATGAAAGCTCGCTGCTCACTGCTTTTTGCCTTCGTCGCCATTCACTGTTCCTCTTCTGCCCTGACACCCTGCTTTGGAGCCATCCAACTATGGACTGAACCTCTGTAAACTGTAAGCTAAAATAAACCTTTCCTCTTTTAACTTTGGGTGTTGGGTATTTTGTCTTAACAATAAGAAAAGTAACTAATATATATATTTAGTGTACAGAACTTCCATTTTGACACATTGTTTCACAGAAAAAATGGGAGCTTGACAGAGTGGTACACACCTATAATTGCTATATTCTGGGAGGCTGAGGCAGGATTGCAAGTTTGAGCTCAGCCTGGGTAATTTTGTAATTCAGAGAGACCCTGTCTCAAAAAAAAAAAAGGCTTGGAGTATACCTTGGTGCAAAGGCCATGTTGAATCTCCAGTACCACTATTAAAAAAATGCATACAACAGTCTGAAAAATCACCACACCTAACATCTGAGATGTCTGGGACAGCAGTGTCGGGGGCAGAGCCCAGCCCCAGCAGAGCCCCGCACGGCCAGTGGTGAGAGCAGGTGCTCACGGCCTGGTCTGAGCCCGCACTGTGGCACAGCTGCTCCTTACAAAGCTACCCAGAAAGGAACTGCACCCTGCTTTCCTCACAGCCCCTCACAGGCCTGCTTCCCTCAGATAGATGAAAATGAGATCCAGAGTGTAGCCTTACCCCAACAGTGGTTAAAGAATTCGTAAACTTCTTCGATAAAGAGGCCACTTCATTGCACATTGCAGTAGTTAACCTGAAAAAAGAAAAAAGAGGCACGTGTGTTCCAGTAAAGTAAAAGAGCCTGACAGTGATAACCATGATATCGGCGCTGCGCGACATCTAAAAGGGCAGCACAAGAGTCCGAGGTGGCTCCGCCCAAGAGAGCAGTCACATAGCGCTCCTCAACAATCGTTCATGATTCACAATTACAGTTTAGTCAAATTCCGGCTTTTCTACCATGCATAATTAAGGAAGAATCACCTAATTCATTTGACCTCTTTTTTAGAATCAAAACTGTGTGCAAGAAAATACCTAGATTGAATTTCAGCTCTAATGGGGGAATGAACCCTTGCCAAAGAGCGTTTCACCATCTTACTGGTCATTTAACATAATAACGGATATTCATTGAGGCACTACATTAAGTTCTTGTATGTCTAATCATATTTAGTCTTTATAGTGACCCAATGATTATTATTCCCATTTTATATAGATGAAGACACTGCAGCTACAAGAAGTAACCTCTCAAAGAAATGCAACAGTAAATTGCAGAAATGAGATTTAAACTCAGCTGGTCCTCTATATTTTGATTCTGTTTTTCACTACATGGCTCAAGATAAAGATCTTAAAGAATATATTTTTTAATACTTATATCAAAATTCCAAGTTCATTTTGGCCATTCAACCTCAAACACTTTACCCTAAGAAAATAAAGCAAGAGAGATACAAATATTTAACTAAAACAATGTTTTCCTAGTATTACAGATGATGACCAAACAAAAACACCTGATTATATAATAATATGCCTTCTGTCATTTTCTCATAATTAGTGTATATGATCCTTATGAATGATGATCAAAATGTTACTAGATAAATTATAATCCTAAGAATCTTATGTCAAAAGATTTAATGTCAATAGAAATAAGGTGTTTTTTTTTTTTTTTTTTTTTTACCAAATAGGTGTCCTACATAAATAACCTATGTATTAGGTCTTATAAGCTTATGTATCCATCCATCCATCCATCCGTCCATCCATCCACCATCCATCAAGAAGTTTTCTGCAGAAAGCACCAAGTGTAAGGCTAGGAGATCTCTAGGCCCATTACGTCTGTGCTCCTGGGCAGAGGGGTGCAGAGTGCTCATTGTGCAGGCACATCAGGGGCTTGGTGCAGCCTGGGAAGGTCAAGGCAATCAAGGTGGGAGTCGGAAAGGGGCCAAGAACAAGATCCTGCTAAAGCATGCTCTATACTGCAGTCTTCCTCCTTTACATCAGCACTGCAAAGATAAAGCATTATCCTGACATTGCCCTCAGTATTTTAAACTTATCCTGTTTTGTTGTTTCTTCTTCCTTCTGTATGCTGAAGTAATTAGGTATAAAAGGAGGCAGATGCTTTATGTGCATTATGTGAATTTCTATAACATCTTCTGTTTCTACATGCTTAGATATGACAATCTAGACTAGACAACAAATCTTTACAAATGAGAAAAAATGCCATCAGCACAAAGACACTAACCCTGAATTTTTGGAAGACACTTCAGCTAAATCCCCCTAACTTAACCTATAAAATGCAGGAAATAATAAGCAAAGAGTATTACTGTCAAAGTGAATGAGAGTACAGAGGTATGTGTGTATGTGGGTATCACCATTTATTTCCAGGGGGCTTCCATCACATTTCCCGTGTCTCTGTAATGAAAGGTTGTTTGGACCTGTGCTGATTTTTTATACTGTAATATGCAGTCAGGTTCATAAAGCAAGGTTCGTGATTTGTTGTTCATTTCCATACAAACTACGTTCCTCTACGTGTGTGTGTGTGTGTGTGTGTGTGTGTGTGTGTATTTATCATTAGACAACCTAATAATAACTGCTATGCTTTAATGAAGAATCATAAAGCACCACAACACATATGCACACACATGCAATCCACAGGGGCCGGACCTACATTAGCCACCACTGTCACCTGAGTGCTGAGCACGTCGAGCTGGCACTGGGACCAGTGGAGGGCATCTGCTTCCTTTTATGTGCTGAGATGTTACATTCACATGCCCTTTCTCTATTCATGTGATGTGCTGAAAATATAATTACCCTCAAAGGCCTGTACTTCTAAGGCTTTGATCTATTAAAATAAATGCTTTCATAGCTTGAATGATTTAGTGCGTCTGCCCTTCAATCTCTTCATCAATAATTCCTAGAATGTCTAGTGAATTCTCCTTAGTGCTCACACAATGCACTTCTTAAGGTAGTCTTTGTTTTACAAGATGGCCATAACAATGGAGTTAGCTGACATGAGGCCATAATCTTTAGTTGTGTGTGTGGGGGGGTATGAGTATCTGCAAAGCATACACTGTAAGTGTAAAAACAAAAGAAGAAAAGCTGGCATTTACTTTATCAGAACTTTAGCTTGATCCTGAGCTGGTTTCTCCTCTTCTTGTCCATGAAGAATTAATTCTGCAACTTTATGAAGCTGCTCAATACAACGCGCAGTGACTTCAGCCAGACTTTCAATGGATAGTATGTATACTTCCTGAAGTGAACACACACAAGAAAATCACTCACTGAGCAGATGTTTTTTAAAAAATCCCTGCGACTTTAAAACACAATATAACAATAATAAATATAATAATAATTTTGTTATATATTACTTGTTTTTAAGACAGGGTCTTGCTATGCAGCCCAGGCTGGCCTCAAACTCATAATCCTTCTTTTCTCCATCCCGAATGCAGGGGTCACTGATGTGTGCTACCGTGCCCTGCTTTACTTATTGTTATATATATTTTGATGTTGGGGACAGAGCCCAGGACTATGCATGTGCTCTATGACTGAGCCATACTACCAGTCTCTAAGTAATATAAATCTTAGTATAAAATACAAATAGAACATGAAAAATTTTATGTGGAGGTTATGAGCATGTCTAGGACTTTTCTAAGTGGAATGCTGCCATAAAATGTAAGTTCTCATATATAAACAAGTAAGCCCTGCTAGGTCCCCAAGGATGCAGCAAGCCTATTTGAGAGTTGTATTTTCAGTAGTTACAGCCACACTAGGCACACAACAAACAGCTGCCAGAAAAGTGGAGATGGGAGGGTGAATGAAGAGACCTCAACACACACTTTTCCTTCGAGTGATCTAATTTACAATGTTACTTTCTTTAAAATTAAAATTCAACATAAGGTACCATTATTGCAAACTACTTTTTCAAACATAGGGTATAAAGTATGCACACATAAATTTATTAAGCTACAGAATAAAAGGTATAGTTATGAAAGTTTTTGAAAAAAGCCTCCATTACCTCATTAGTTACGGTGCATAAAGACACTTTATAGGAACAAATTTGCATAGAAGATGGCGACTTCCTCTAAGGATAAATCAATTATGTTCTTAAAAATCCTTTCCCCTTTAAATTATAATTGTAAAGCTGTGGAGAAAAGCTACAAAATCTATGTTAAGCCAGCAATTGTCTTGGCATAGAGAAATTTTAATGTTGATTCCATTCTTATTAATACTTTAATAAAGAGCATAGAGTACAAATAAAAAAGAAGAGGCCTCTTCTTGTTTAAAATTAGGCTGCTAATAAAATTAACATAATATTACTGCCCTTTTGGTGGAGAATCCTGAATAAATTTACCTCTACAGTCTTAGCTCTTTGTTCTTCCTTTCTGTCTTCTTGAAGGTCCTCAGCCTTCTCTTCCTTCTCTTCCTTCTCGGCTTCCTCCTCCGACTCTTTGGCCACATCTACCGACACCAAGGTCTGATCCTCTTCCACCCAGTCATGGGCTTTTTTCATGGCCTGCAATGGTCCTCAAGAAAAGGAAGCATTTACTGAGGAAGCACAGAATCGAAGTCATTCCGACCCCAAGGCTAGAGTGCATTGCTCTAAACCTCTAGGGCAAATTTCCATGTGCTCAAGAAGTGACGGGGCCATCATTTGCAACTCCCTTAAAGGACAACCTTGTTCATAAAAATATAAAATAGGAAAAGGGGGCAAAATAGCAAACATTGAGAGAAATTTGCAGGACCCAAGGACTTTAAAGGAAGCACTTAAAAATGATATTCAGGTAAGAATAAAAATGACAATCATATTGAAAAATCTATAGTATATTTTTCACTTTTCATGATCAACCATAAAAGAATAACAGCACTTTTTTCTATGTCGGTGAGAAATCTAGCCAGGGCCAGGCTGAAAGCAAATTTCCTCATCTGATATGTCTCATGAAGCTCTGAATGTTTCATGAACCCGCTAATGTATCATGCTGCGCAGATGAAAGACGGCCCTGCTCCTGTGATTCATGGCAGGCCTTCCGACACCCAGGGGCAAGGACCGGAGCTGAAGAGAGACCTGGCGCTGCTCCATGACTAGTCTAATTTCCCACAGTGCAGGTTAAGAACCGGTGGCCCTAAGAGCCATGGCTAAATTGAAGGTGCAGAAGCCATCTTCCCTAGCTGCTATTTCCTGATTTTAGAAAGGGCAGATTCGCCCAGATTTTATCACCCTCTGTTAAATCATTCAAGTATAAGTTGTTTCTTAGCTTGTGCTAAAAATGACTTCTCATCTAAGATGTGTGTATGTCAAAGTAGAACATGTTAGAGTGCTGCTCAGCAAGGTAACACTAAGCAGAGTGGCAAGAGAAAATCTAACGGGTTGTCCTTGGTGTATCCTCGTTTCGGGATAAAGGTCAACCCTGACCATGTAAATAAGTTGGTGCAAACCCGCAGCCATCACATGTCCTTTCTGAGCAGCAGCAGATGCTTCAGGGAGACGGATGAGGCAATTTCCCACTGTGCTCAAGTCACTGACCTGCCAGCGCCAGTGACCCCTATCTGAGATTAAGAAATTACTCATCTCCACCTTGCCACCTCACGCTGCCCTTTCCTTGCCACCTTGATAAGTGATGCCTACAGAAAACACAGCTTGCTAAGAGAAAAACAAGGGGCTGGGTGGGGGCCATCACACAGCTTTGAGTGAGTAATAAGCACTGTTTTAAATCCAACAGCAAGACCTTGTACTATCTTACAAAATATACTAGTGTATTATTACAGGAATGTAGACTGCTAATGCATAGCTTTGGGGTGGGTGAGAGTCTGAGGGGTTCACCTGGCAGATGTCTCTCCTGCCTAACTCTGATCTGTGTCTTTAAACTTAAAAACAGGGGAGCAGAAATCCAAAGAGCCCCTTGGTGATTCTACACCCCTCAGCCTTCTACCCTGAAAAAAGCCACTGTTTTTCCACAGCGGGCGAGTGACTTGTTCAAGGTCACAAGCCAACAACTAGTAAAGCTGCAAGTACAGCATCAGTCTCCTGACTTGGTCTGGTATATCCTCTGCCTTTGCAGGTTATTAATTGCCTCTTCAAGTCTTAACTACTGACCTCGGACTCTTCATCCTCCACCATGCCATAGTGGGGTTGGAGATTTGTATTTTATGTGGATTTCTGGGTTGTGAATGAGAGACTCCCCCACCCCCATCCTTATAAAACCAGAAACTGAGACTCAGATGGTTCTGACCTTATTGAGTTTGTCGGGCGTGGCCGCAACGTGTAATTCAAAGAGAAGCTCTGTGAGCATTCGCGCAAACTCTTCTCCCTTTTCTTCTAAGCCTAGAAATAGAACATGACAGGAGTAAGGATCATGTTTTATTCCTCATCCATAGAGCATGGAACTCTCTGATGGTCAAGCCTGCAGCTGGGGCAGGCTCAGTCAGGCTGTGACAATCTGTCCCTGGCTGCCAATGAAGCTGCTAGTGAGGATGGACATTGCCCACTGGGCACCAGCAGGGAGGCAGCCGGCTGCTGTTGGGTGGAGGGCTGTGGGGCCTGCCCCAGGCATTCACGGGCTGGCCTAGAGGCAGCCAGAGGCCAGGAAGGTCCCAGGTTGACCTGTTCATAGCTAGAGTTGGTCAGTAGCTTTTTGTCCAAAGAATGACTAAACGAATGGACAAATGACCTCCGTCAGCTCTGAGACCCAGCACAGCACTGTACTTACAACAGTGTATTGTTATGCTGTGCACTGCAGCCCAGGAATCCCCAGGCTGCCATCCTGAGTCCACAGGGCTGCAGCACTGAGCAGGCAGAGTTGGTCTCTGTGGGATGTGTGCTTTCTGATGCAACACCATCACCTCTCTGGAGAAACTTGAGGGTACCTGGCTGGTCTTAGTTCTCTTTTTTCCCAGTATACTGAACTGAACCCAAGACCTTTGTCCTGGGCCACATACCCAGTCCCAAAAAATGTGTTTGTTTACTTATATTCCCAACTCCTTTTTATTTTATTGAAGAGATGGTCTTGCTGAGTTGCTAAAATTGCCCATACTGGGCGTGAACTTGAGGCTCTCCTGCTCCAGCCTCCCACAATACTGGGATTACAGGTGTGTGTCACCACACCAGGCTCTAAAACGCTTCTTAATGACCT